TTCTTCTTCTTTTTCGGATTGGAGACTTATACTAGTTGGACAGAGATCAGTGTTGGACTTCGGTGGTAGGAGGCTGTGGTACTTACCGGATCTGAGACTTGAAGATTGTTGGGATTGATATTTGGTGGCACTACCGATTGGACACCGGTTACAGTAGGACTCTGTATCGCCGACATTGGTGACTTCTTGTCCACGACATTTTGACCTTGTTCGATGACATTTTGGATTACCATATCGGTGACCTTCGGGATTCTATCTCGGTGACATCTGGCGCTACCTCCATCTCCCACCTCCTCGTCTCTTCTCCCACCTTCGTCTGTGTATGCGTGTACGGGGCCTGAACATCGTCTGTGTTTGGTTCAGACCCCTCCCATCTCACGATTGTTTGTATGTGGAGTGATCTGTGTGACGTCAGTCTATGTGAGTCAGTCCATTCATCAGACTTCCGCTGCATACATGCTCATCCTATATTGGTTGATCCTTGGTTCTGCTCATACTTGTTGATGTACTCACTAGTATGCGACAGTTTTGGTATTGGAGCAGACCAAAGAATGGATCTGCTCATCAGGTAAGTCTGGTTTAGGCAGAGATTGCTTCTTCGATCTTCCAAATCAGCCCTGAAATACTATCGAGATCCAAGTTGCAAATTTTTTTCTTTTTCGGTATTCTGGTTATTTCGGTATTCCATTTTTGATTCAGTATTCTGGTTTTTTTTTCGGATTCTGTTTCAATCGGTATTCAGTGTACATCGGTTTCCGATCAATTGATATTCTGGGTAATCCGATATGCTGTTCAATTCGGATTTCTGATTGAAATTTCGTTACTAGGGTAAATCAGTCTTCTGTTTAAATCGGCATTCTGATGTATTCCGTTTTATTTCGGCATTCTGATTTTAATCCGATATTTCGTTTTTGAAATCAGCATTTCCGTTTTATTTCAGTAGCGGAAATTAGGGTTACGAAAAATTTCGGTTTTTAAAGCAATGTGGGAAATTTGAACGTTTTGGACCCGTAAATCCGGAAATTCCGCGGAAACCGCGGAAAATTAGGGTTGGGCCCCGAAATTTTTGCGAAATTTTTATTTTCTTTTCCTAGCTTAAGAAATTCCGAAAACGGACTGGAACCTTTAAAAATCGGATTTTGTAAGTTGAAATTCCCGAAATTTGGTATTTTCCGAAAATTCGAGTGTTTTTTTCTTTAAAATTCCGAAATTTTTTTTTGGCAACACAGTTCGGACATCGGCCCTCAGAATTGCAATTTCCGGATGGTTCACTAAATTTCGGTGAACCTCCGGGACCATACATGATCTCAACAGATACCTGATCTTGCCTCAAACTTGAAATTCAATAATTCTCAGTATCGCAATTATTGTTTTATTGATTATTATTAAGATTTGTTAATTCTTTATTAATCATTAATTCATTTTATTGATTATTAAATTCATTATTATTTCTTATTACGAATTTCTGAGTTAATTCCTTCGGAAAGGGCATTCTTTTGATTAGGTGTCTAGTCCATCAGTGGGACAGGGACTGTATGTGAAGTGCTTGACTGTTCTACCCCTGTTCCCACCCTCTCTATCTCCCCCCGTAATCTGTGACCACCGGGATTGTTTTTTTTTGCTCACCACATCAGCTAGAACTGATGGCGACGGAACAAGATACCGGGGCACTGCCACGACGCAGTGCCAGGCTCGCAGTTCGTGCCCGTTCCATCGTATCTCCGCGACCCAAGTATCAGCAACAGCGAATCAGCAGGCGGACGACTCCAGCAGCATCGAGTACGGCAGTGACAGTACCAGTCTCCACCGGAGTTCTTCCCGCATGTCCGGTCCATGGACCGCCCTTATGGCTGAGTCCGGTACAACAATGAAGCCGAGCTCGGCTCGGCACCCGCAGACGGATGGCCAGACGGAGCGAGCACACCAGACCGCTCAGATGATGTTGCGCACGCTCATCCGTCCTGACCAGAAAGATTGGGTTGACCGGCTTCCTGACATCGAGTTCGCCTACAACACTTCAGTGCACCCGGCGATCTGCGTCACACCATTCGAGCTACATCATGGTGGAGCGAAAGCACGGATCTTCACTGATATACTTCTGCCACAGGCTGCCGACATAGACGTCCCTTGCTCGCCCGCTTCCGTTCGGAAGTACCGGGACTTGCTGATCAAAGCCCGCGCAAATATGCAAAAGGCCCAAATCCGCATGCAGCAGCAAGCTAACCAACCTCGACTTCCATGTCCTTTCCGCGAGGGAGACCTTGTCTGGGTCCTCTCCGAGGAATTTGCACTTGAGCAGGACGTTTCGCGCAAACTCCTTCCGAAATGGTTCGGACCATGGGAAGTTACTTCTGCCGTTGGAGATGATCCTGCAGGTCCTTCCTTCGTGATCAACATTCCACCGCATCTCACGATGCACTCGGTCTTCCACGCGTCGAAGCTGGCCATTTACACACCACCTTCTGACGACGAGTTTCCGGGCCGACGATCACAGGATCCGCCTTCTATGGACGGACATCAGGAAGTTGACCGAATCATCACGCACCGCAAGCATGGCAACAAGCCAATGCAGTACAAGGTCACATTCAAGCAATGTGCGCCTGATGACACTCGGTGGATCTCTCGCACAGATTTGCAGACCTCTGCGCCCCTCATCTTCGCGGACTGTGAGAAGCGAAGACTTGCCAAGGAGGCAGCTCGTCCCGCCCGACCCGCCCCGGTATCGGACAGACAACTCCACCCTCGCCGGTAGCTTGGTCTTTTAAGGGGGGGAGTGTGTTACATCTTCGACGCCACACGGGCCCTACCGGACCCGACTTAGGGCCAGAGGGACACAGTAGGGCCTAAAGGCCCGACCTTGGGGTATTACCAGGGCCTTTCGGCCATGACTTGGACTAGACCGACGGACCAGGCCCAAACGACATTTTCGTTTGGGGCCTGGCAGGGCCTTCAAGGCTGCCGCCCTCCGGTCGGATCTGAATCGTCGATCTGGACGATTCAGACCCAACCGAGGCCTCGCAGCAGTGAGGCCGGTCTTTTCGAACCAGTACTTAGTA